TTGTTATCAAACTTTAATTAATACCTTCACAGTTACACATACAAATGAGTGCGCCTACAAAATACCCATATCATATTGCTAACTTTCTATATATATATATATATATATATAGGGTCACGTTATTCGTCACCCTGGTTGAGGAATAGTTATCCTTCACCCCTCTATTTTGACATCAATGCACTGTATTTTTATGTTTCGTAAATTTTGTCTTATTTCATACATAAAAAGAGAACGTAAGAAAATATGTACTCGCCGTAAAAAATATTTTATGTTACGTAAAATTATGAATGTAAAACCATAGTGTAAACCATACATAAAATGTGATTTTTCTGGTCTTATAACTATATTTTTATTTTTTTAAAACCAAATTTTACATATTGAATCAATCTGCACGTAACTATTTATATTCTAAACATAATTTATTTAGAAAGCGATCATAAGATTACCTCGGGTGAAGAATAACTTATTCTGCATCCTGGGTGATGAAGGTGTACGTATTACCAGCCACTTGTCGTTGTTTAGTAGCACTGTTAGGTTCTAGCATTCAATACCTATTTAGCATCAAATTATTTAATCCAAGTAAATCCCATGGAAGGGGTCACGTGGATTTTGAAAAGTAGTTCCAAATTGTTAGGGGTGAAAATACGAATAGTTTCAAGTCTTGATGGCTTCCCTCGTCTATTAGGTTATTTCATCTTTCGGAACCAAAGAAGACATGCTCTGGGGTTCTAATTCTATGCATATCCATCACGTCCCCACGTACATAACTTGGTGAGCAGTGGTTGTGGTGGTGGCGGGGACGAGAAGCGGCTGCGTCGTTTGATCAGCTATCTGCAGTGGCAACACTGGCGTCAACAACCATCCTTTCTCTCATATCATCGCATCCTTTCACGTTTCATCATCGAGGTATCAGTCCAAGTACAAATCCACTTTTTATTAGTTTATTTGAGTTATTGTGTTCTATGCATTCGATGTGATCAAAACTCAAAGAAAAATGATCTACAATAGTATCATCTGCTAATTCTTTGGCTATCTGCCAATCAAGATGAGACGTGAACCCAGCTCGCTGCTCCATCAAACACACAACAGCGTATGTCAGTCTAGTACATATGCGGGCAGCAGCGCACAAGAACCCAGCTTGAACTTATATGGGACACTCATGGTTCATGCCAGCATCTAGGACGCACTCGCGTGGCCGCTTGTGAGCCTATGGTTCAAGAGGAATTGACTCTACAACATGCAAGGAGGCTGTGTTCTTCTCAGTGTGGTGATCATGACAAACTGGAAAATAGGGATGAAAATGGAGTGGAAAGTTTTCACTTTTTCGGAGGAAAAATGGAAATGGAGAGGAAATATGAAAACGGAAACGGAAATTTGCAAAACGAAAATGGAAATGGAATTTTTCATGTGGAAACGGAAACAAAAACAAAATGGTATTTCCATTAATATGAAATTTCCGTTTCTACTATAGGCCCATGGCTGCTTTGTAGCCCAACTACCAAACAACACACAATGACACAATGAGTAGAATGAGCAAAACGTACCATGTGAGTACCAACTTTTACTACCGCACACATACTCAGCTAGACTCTATACGGAATTGTCATGTACTACTACAATACTACCCTATGTTACCAACACAACCATATTATTTTGTAGCCATGTTAAGAATTCCATCAATTTGTTTGTTTTTTGTCTGTATTTCTCTATGATTCAAGGGGGTTTTAAGTTCCGATCAACACACAGTTTTATTTCCATGTCCGCTCTGTGTTCGCTTCGTGTTTGTTTCTGGTAGTATCTGTTTCCATATTCGCTTCCGGGGTTTCTGTATTCGTTTCCGCTTCTGTAAAATAATATGAAAACAAATATGGTAGGACCCAGTTCCGTCCGTTTCCATGCCGTTTTCATCCCTACTGGAAGCAGTGTTCTTCTCAGTGTGGTGATTAGTTAATTAGTTCGAGATATTAGTCCTGGCCTCCTGGGTAGTGTTGATTAGAAACTAACTTGATCTATATGGTCCTAGGTAGTGTTGATTAGTAAGTAGTAACTAGCTTGATCTGTATGGTCTTGGGTAGAGGTTAATCACCTGCACATGAGTTCAGATTTACAAGCCAAAAGGACTCCAAGGCAAAATAAAATTTAAGGAACATTAGGTTGTTCTCTGTTTGTAATTGGAATTAATTTTCAGAAATAATACAATAGCTATCACTGTTGTAGCTAGAAGAGTCATGTAAAGTCTTGCTATCCCCTCAATATCCAATTGAAACAAGTATCATGCTGTAGTGCTGTTGTAAATTAAGCACCATTTACCATGTTATGCATGTTAAAAGAATTCGTGTCACCTGTTATTTAAAATTACCAGACTCTAGTGTCTATCCATTGTCATTCTGGATTTGGTTCCCTCGTGTGATCTCTACTGCTTTCTCTTTTTTGTGTCACGCGATTCTGAATTTCCGTGTTGGCAACATCTTCGGTATAGTCGTTGATTGCTTTTCTTTACTACTACCTCCGTCCATGTTTAATGCCCCCCAGACCAAAACGCAGGTACCAAGACGTCTCAGCGCATAGTAACCCACAAGAGTCTAACCAACCATGGCGTGTAAAATCCCTCTCCGTGTCCCATTAATTCTCTGTTTGTTCCTCCTCTTAATGCGCTGCGGCCGCTGGCAAAACAAAAAGCATGTGTTGGCTGCATGCAAATGACTATCCGCTCACCTTGCTGCATGCCGCCGTTGGCAATAACTACCGAGAGCACCGACCAATAAAAAAGAACGAGCGTTTTGCATGTGGCCTTTTAAATCAGGACATGCCTAACCTGCTCACGGGACTAAAAAATCCGGAGGGAAGTAGTATCAATTAAAAGAAGCGTCTTTCATGCACTTATTTTTTTAAACAATTCATTACGTTGACGTGTGTATCAATACCTTTGTTCAGGTGCACGAGCTGGTCCAGCCCTTAAATAATTAATTGGCAAAATTATGAACTTGTCTTGTATTGGTTTGTGGTATGCTCTGTTGTGCTGGGAGTATTGTTGCTCTCTACATTGCTGTTCTCATGGAAGGAAGTTAGAATTGATATAACTTCGCATTATTGCTATGTTTTCAAGGCGTCGCCTAGGCGACGCCTAGGCGTCAGAGCGCTCGCGAACGTCAAGGCGTCGCCGTCGCTTTAGTTTTTTGTCTAAGGCGTCCGCCTTGTGCTGTTGAGGCGTCCAAGGCGTCCAAGGCGCCGCTTTGCTTGATTTTGGACGCCCTGGACATGCGCGGGCAGGTTGAGCGGGAACCAGCAGCTGGCGCGCGCCAGAAAGAGGAATTGGCGGGAGGGAAGAGAAATTGGGCGGGAGAGAGGGGGTAAACAGAGGCAGGAGAGAGAGGGGAACACACCTGTGACTCCAAATCGAGGGGAAAAGAGAGAGGAGCTCTCTCCTCTCACTCTCTCACGCCGCCGGCCCAGATCCGTTCCTCCTCCGCCGGCCTCCCCCTGTCCGGCCAAGCTCCTCCTCCGCAGGCCCTTCCCCTCTCCGGCCAAGATCCATCTCCGCCGGCCATCCCCCTCTCCGGCCAAGCTCCTCGGCCGCCGGCAGCCCTCTCCCAAGGTACGGCTCCTCTCTGCCTCTCTTTTCCCCTCACCTGCCCATGTTTTCTGATGGTGCTGCTGCTTGTGCCTCACTGCTTTGCCTCTAAGCTAGCCCTCTGTTTAGTATATGCATGTGTAGATGTGGTGCTGTGCCTCTGCCCTCTGCCCACTGCCCTCTATTATAGTAGTGTTAGCTGCAAGTTGTGATTAAAATAGATGCTGATTGTCCTTGTTAGCTGATTAGAATAGATGATGTTGATGTGACCGATGATGATGAAGATCCAACTAGTGCTGACCAAGATGGCGAAGACAACACAAATACTACCATCGATGAGTTCGATGATGGCTATTGAGAATTGAGTGTGGCCAGCCTTGCTTATGATCATGTGTTTGCCTGTTTGGAACCTAAATTTATGTTGTGAACTTCTGAACCTAATTTATTGTGTTGTGGACCTAGTTTATGTAATATGTAATGCACTCATGTTTGTCATCTTGTTTTGCACTTTTTCTGTCATTTACTCTCTGTTTTTTACCAATGGTGATCTATTAATTAAGTCTAGTTTTAACCATATACTATGATATATGTTCATCTTTATGCAGATTTCTATTGTGGAAGGCAGAAATGGGAAACAAGACGGGAGGAATGGATGCTATGTGGGCTCAACAACCAGGAAATTCAAGGTATGAATCAGTTACATGTCCACTCATGGCTGCCATATTAGTACCCCTAGCGCCTAATAATAAGTGTCTAAGGCGTCGCCTCGCCTCACGCTTTGAGCGCCTAGGCGTTGAGGCGCCCCCCCAGCGCCTTAAAGCGCCTGGACGCCTTGAAAACATAGCATTATTGTTCTCTCTATCTTTCTTGTGCTGGTTTTATTGCTTATGTACTTGTCAACTTCTTGTGCATGAATAATTTGTGGTGGTTGGCACAAAATCTTGATCCATGTAGATAACATCTGATAGTTAAACTTGGTTTACCAATGCAAATGGTACATAGGGTTTAACCAAATGGGAGATGTTAGCAGGAATCTCATAGTGGCAGAGATTCAACCCCCCAGCAACCGAATTGGTCGAGTGGCCAAGTGGGGATCACCCAATCCCTTAGTGGAACTAATCCCCTGCAACCGAACATTAGCCTAAGGGTGGGAGTACATACTCCCAGGAGTACAAAAGAGGAGCTCTAGGACAGAACGAAATCATATACTCTGGGTAGATGACACAGTGAGATAAGGACTAGGACGGAGCGAAGCTGGGGTGCAAGGAAAAGCGACCTAGATTTCATAATTGTGATTTTAGCATGCCAGAGAAACACATCAACATGAACAAAAAAAATAGCTAAAAGGGGTTATGAGTATTGCAGCCATTACCACTTAATCCAACAATAAACATAACAACAAAAGTTGGCATCCATAGTAAATACATACCTGCACATTACCAATAAGAAGGGCAAATAAGACTAAACCCGATATCGAGACAAAAACAGCAAACAAATTCTCCCATGTGTAAGTGCTTGTTTTCAGATTTTGACCAAGAGAGCTGCGATAGGTAAACCAATACATAAATACAATATCGAATTCAACATTCCTTGATGGAGTACAAAAATAGTTAGGGGAGGGGCTAAACCTTAGACTTTGCAGACCCCACCAAAAGCAATAGAAAAATTTCTCAAAGAAACTCGTCGATTGTGAAACAGTTCGGAGAGCCGGTAGGTAAATTCCAAAGGTTGGGTCTATATCGTCGCTGCCATTTGTCAGACAGACATTTTGCAGGAAAATATTGTCTCTAGCTGTATTACTCCCGCAATATAAAGATGCAAAGTTACAGTTTATCTTGCCACATTCTTTTCTCCAGCAGGTATCTTCTCGCTGAATGGAAAGAAGGTACCAAAGGGCTCCAAACACCTACAAGCAGTTACAGTATCAGCCCTTCTTAGTATCTTGAGTATGGCTATCAGCTAACCAAATATATGCAAATAATTGCAAGTCATCTAGAGATTAACCCTCTTGTGAAGAAATTAATCATCATAGTATACAGGCTGATTTAAAATCATTAAGTTATTCGGGAAGATATTGCTTAGTGAACTAGTATTTGCTTAGGAGTGGACGTACAACCCCACCACCTACAGGGCTTCTCCTACAGTTTTTTTTAGGGAAAGGATAGCAGATCATATAATCTTGGGAGAATCAGAAATACAGTCCAGTTGCACACACAAGTGCTGCTAAGTCAGCTGGGAGAGGATTGTGCCACATAATCTCCATTCTGCAGTTCTCTTTCGAGAAAAAACAGTATTTGATTGGATAAGATGTTCAGCGCCTCAACGTTTCCAAATCACCATCAAACCAGATCAGATATTCCAGATATATGATCCAAAAGTGTCAGCGATACGGGAAACAGGGTCCCCCAGGCCCGCTAAAGATGGGCCTAACACAGCACCACGAAGCTCAAGGAAAGGGAGGGAAACCTTGCTGTGGGCTCCCCAAGCACAAAGGCATCCGGCGTGCAAGAAGCCCAGGAAGGTGGTTGGGGTCCTTTCCGACCACCCGAACTCCCCCGAGTACCAGCTCTGCTCTTGTGGGCCCTTCGGGGGACCCACACCAACTGGTGAAGTATCAATACAGGTCTGACTGGCTCTCTTCGGGTTTTGGTTCAAACCCAAGGGCCGACCGGCACATTAAATGTTACCTGCATACCTACGATACGATGAACAGTAAGCCGGTTCGCATCATTCTGAGGTGATACAGCCTGCCATGTATCAGAAAAGTGACAGGCGCAACCCACCTTTCTGACTACAAACCCAATTGGGGGCGGCACGTCTCTCCACCACTGATGGATGGGGCCCTGCGAGCTGTGGGCGGATGGGCGACTTGTTTTTGTCAAACACCACCTGTGCACGCCAATCTATTTTCTGACGGACCCGCATGGGCTGTGCAGACTACACTGTTCAGTTTGTTTGTGACATATTTTGTAGCAGGCCATTGTGGTGCCCCCCGTCTTTTTATAAGGGGGGGACCAAAGCCATGCAAAGGGTTCACATTTTGGAGAAGCATAGCTCTACAGTAGACTAGCGCTCAACACTTCAGAGGAAAAAAGAGAGGAAGAGTTCATCCTGTAATCATACATATCAACATCAACAGATCAAGAACACAAGCAGGACGTAGGGTGTTACACCTCGCGGTGGCCTGAACCTGGGTAAAAAAAAAAACATGTTCTTTGCTGAAGTGATTTGAAGTGTTTTTGCCCCTGGCTGAACAAAGAAAAGAGGGATCTCCCAGGTCTTCGATATCGACGAATTCCCCGTCGACATCTGGCGCGCCAACTAGGGGGCTAAGGCTTCAGGTCTCTTCAGATCATCTTCATCAACCATGTCCTCATCCGCGCAAAGACCGAAGCACTCCGGCGCAGCTGGCGAAGCCCCCTCGGACGGCGTTGCACCATCCGGCAGCCGGCTCCCTTTGGGCACTCACTGATCGGCACGTTGCTGGCAGAGTTCGAATACGGAACCCAAGCGTCCGCGCTACATAACGCGTGTGTCCTTCAGCACTTTCCCGTTCTGATGGAGGAGTCTCCTAGGAGTTTTTGGCTCCAGAAAATTGTCGGGTTGCCAAGAGGCCCCCGCGTTCAAACAAGACTTGTGTCCTCCCGCCCCGGCACCAACAAGGGTCTTCCATCGCTGTGCCCGCCAAGCCTCGCTTGACGGGACCAAGAACACCGCTCCAGGCCCCACCTCACGATCACTGCTTCCGTTCCTGTACGTGCCGGGGATCTTCGTGACACCCCCTACAGCAAGAGGAAGGCTGATGCCCCCAAAAAATGGACTAACGAGTGGTGCCCTGAGCACCTCTCCGATAGACATGCCCTCTTGGACTGGCGAGACACCAAGGCATTTGCCGGTAATCGACGCCGAGCACGCCGTGACATGAAACGCAGCACAGGGTTGTACGAACAAGCGCCATCTCCGCCACATACACGACGAGGATGATGCTCGCCATGGCCAAGACGACTTCTTTAGCTCCCACGGATCCAAGGTTGTGGCGTGCATCCATGGGGGCGCTTGCATGCCCACTTCACGTCAGACAACTCAAGTTGTTGGCACGGGAGGTTAACCCGGTACTCCCAAGCGTCAAAGCATCCCAACCTCGGGCAGCGAGGCCTCTTCATCTTCAAGCTCCTCAAGAAGTCGGGTCCCTTCGAGTGGACCCCCGAGGCTGATCGGGTGCTCCAGAATATCAAGCGGTATCTCACTTCTCAACAACAGCGGTTGCCACCAAGACCTGAGGAACCGCTGTTGTTGTACATCGCCGCCACCCTCCCCCCCCCCCCATGTCGTAAGTGTCGTCCTGGTGGTGAAGCGGGAGGAGACGCCAGAGCCCAAACATGGGTCAGAATCCCCGGCTTAATCAGCATCAACTCTTAGCACCGGATCTGGGCTACCAGTGCATCCAAAGGAGACAACCATCATCAAGCAAACCTCTAAGCCTAGGCTCCCCTCCAGCCTAGAGCCAATGGCCGGGCCCAACCTCCCTTCCAGCCCCAAACTAATGGTTGAGCCCAAGCTCTCATCCACATTGGCCCATGAGCCCGAGCTTCCACCCACCCATGCTCCTTTCCAACCCAAAACAGGCGACCAAGCCCAAGCAAGCTCTCATCTAGGCTGGTGTCTGAGCCCAAGCTCTCATTCGACCTCGAGCAAACCAAAGAGCTCGAGGAAGCGTCTCCGACTCTGGGGCGGGTTGTACAACGTCCTATCTACTTTATCAGTGAAGTCTTGCGTGATACCAAGTCGCGGAATCCAAAGATCCAGAAGTTGCTCTACGCGATCTTGGTCGCATCAAGAAAGCTGTAGCATTATTTCCAAGCCCATAAGGTGTCCGTCGTCACATCCTTCCCGCTCGATCGCATCTTTCACGACCGTGGGACAATCGGCCGCATTGTAGAATGGGCGATCGAGATCGGGGAGTTTGACCTTCATTTGATCAGCTCCCATGCCATCAAAAGTTGCACCCTTGCCGACTTTGTGGTGGAATGGACTCGTGTGCCCAAAGACAAGGTGGAAGAACTATTCGCGGCCCCAGGGCACGAGAATCACAAGCACTGGACAATGCATTTCGGTGGATCCTTCACGCTCCTAGGCACGGGGGTTACAATTGTTCTCTCCTCTCCAACGAGCGAACAACTCTAATACGTAACACCAACTCCTTTTCAAGGATGCTACCAATAACATGGCCGAATACAAGGGACTGCTTGCCAGCCTCCGGGCCGCAGTCCCCCTCGGAATCCGTTGCCTACTCGTCAAAGCTGACTCGCAACTACTCATCAACCAGGTGTCCAAGGAGTACCACAGCTACTCATCAACCAGACGTCCAAGGAGTAGCAATGCTCAGACCCACGGATTGCAGCATCCAAGCCCAGGTCAAGAAACTGGAGCGGCATTTCGACAGCCTGCAAATGTTGCACGTGAAGCGCCACGTGAACCGAATCGCTGACCACTTGTCATGACTGATTTCCCGTCAGGAGCCGATCCCAGTCGGAACCTTTAAAGAAAGGCTCTTCCAACCGTCCGTCTTGATCGCCGATCAAGACAAAGGAGCTTCTTGATCGCCGATCAAGACAAAGGAGCTTCCTCTTGCTTCGGCGAGGGTGCAAAGGTGTCGCCTTCTGCAGGGAATCAATAGATCAAGAACACAAGCAGGCGTAGGGTGTTACATGTCGCGGTGGCCTGAACCTGGGTAAAAAAAACTGTGTTGTCGGTTGAAGTAATTTGAAGTGTTTTAGCCCTGGCCGAACAAAGAAACACCGTCGACGAAAAGGTCACGATGTCATGCGAACCATTGTGCTTAGGAATAAACTTGCTAATATTTTGAACCTTTTACATATTTTATCTTAGAAAGTTCCGGCAGGTTAAAAAAATAGATTCATCTCACAAGTTGGGACATGTTTCTGCTTTGAAGTTTGAAGAACAAGTTTACATGATAAAAACTGAGTGAAAAACAAGGACTGATTTGCACATAGTAGTGACCTTTAATCTACCAAGACATCGGCTTAAGACAAGATGTTTCTCACTACGACAATTTCATTGTTTGTGCATATGGTTTAGCATGTGATAATCATAAAATGCATTGTGTGTTTCATAAAGAAAAAGAAAAAACAATATCCCATGTGCTTTGCTATGTGACATTGTTGTTTGCACTACCTCGAGGAATCAAAGTTCACAAACATAAATTTCGAATGCTCACTAGGAGAATATTTTTCGAAAACAAATCCTTATGGGCGTGTTTGGTTGCCTGCATTAGGTCCAACCAAGCCCACGCGGGAAGAATCCGGCCTGTTTGGTTGCCCGCATACACTATTGGGCCTGCATCGCACTAACTTTAAAGCACCTCTGGGCTTGTCTCGCTGGGAAAGCTCAAATTGGCAGTTTCTCCAGAGCCAGGCCCGCTCGATGCACGTGAGCGGCGGGAACTGCACGCGCGGAGCCATGCTCGAGAAGCCGCGTTGCTTCCCGAAGCGCCGGCAGTTATTACCCTCACCGCCCCCTCACCACTTTGTATCCCCTCTGCTCACTCTCACCGACGGCGGTGGTAGCGACGGCGTGCAGCAGATCGGAGAAGAGCAAGGCGACCACCGGCTTCCGCATCATCACCTCCGGCACGACAATGGCAGTAAGCACTTTTTTCACCTCCTCACGTACTCATTCGCATTCGATCCGCGTTTAGGTTCGATCCGCGTTAGGGGAATGGGGAATCGAGGTAAATAGCCATAGGATTGATCATAACATCGTCATGAGTTTGTGGCACCGATGGATTTGAGGTTACCGATCGGGATTGAGTACAAGGGTATTGGGGGAAAATCTTTCACAGTAGTTCTAGATCTTAGCCTCGGCTACCCTGGAGGCGTTTGGAGCGGCGGTTACCCTTGCCCTTGTTCTTCTCCTCGAGCTGCACCACCGTCTCTTCTTGCTCGCCGGAGTCCAGATCAATTGGCATGCTTCGGTGTCCTAGCTCCGGCGCCCTTACAACCATCGCCACCGCAACTTCTTCCACCTCCATCGCCACTGCTTCTTGTTCCTCCTTCACCGCCACCACAGTCCATGTCGTGAAGTACGTTGCGGCACGATGGTCGTGTGGACGCCTGTACTCTATGTACTTGGCCCCCTTGACCTCTGTCGGGCGTCGCCGAAGTCGGCTTGATTCATGGCCCAGCGAAGATGTCAGACGACATAGCGCCCTTCGCTAGGTCAGGAATCAGCGTCTTCAACTCCTCCGGCGTTGCCTTCTTCAGCACCGCGTCCAACTCTTTTTGCATGTTTGCCATGCTGGTGAAGTTGGAGCAGACTTCCATGGTGTTCTCGAACTTGGTGCGGTCACCGAGCGAGCACTCAAGGAAGAAAGCCCTCCATCCAATGCCCCAAGGGAAGGGGTTGGGATTGCTGCTGGAGTTCATGGCGGTAGATAGGAGGGAGAGTGAGAGACAGAGAGATGACTGAGTGAGATGATGGGTAAGTAGTGACCGTGAGGATGGGTAAATAAAGGGGTTATGGACGATAGGTTTTAATGGCGATCAACCTTGGAACTTTGTGCTCTTCATAATGTGCGCTCTTCGTAATGCAGATCGACACGGACAAGGGCAAGGAGGTGGTGCTGCCCATGGAGGTTGAGCCGGCCACGCCTGAGGAGGTGGCCACGGATGAGGACGTGGTGCCTGAGGAGCCCCCTTGCAGCAAGTGTCGTAACTACGGCCACTACCATGAGGAGGGAGGTCCAACCCACTCCTGCAAGGTGATCCTTGCCCCTCAGCTTGAGTGCATCCCGATGCCCCTGGACTTCACCAAGCACTTCCCGGCGGTGCCGCAAGAGTTCAAGCTCAGGGCCAACACCGGCTGCTCATGGAAGGTGACTGTCCGGCTGATGGACGGTAGGGTGACCCTCGATCAAGGTTGGGCCCCCTTCGCCGCCATCCATCAGATCATGATCGGCTACATAGTGACGTTCAAGCTGCTCACTCCGGACATGCTCAAGGTCATCGTCTTCAACGACGAAGGCATTGAAGTGGTCACCAAGTGCAGCAAGCATGACAAGGCCTTCACCGTCAACGTCTAGGACTGCCCTTCCTATGCTCCATCTGGTTTAGTTTCTTATCATACTGCTTTGCATCCGAACTGATATGTTTAAGTGTGGCACTTTATTTAAACTACGGCTAGCTATGGTTTAAACTATCTTCTGTTGTGTGTGCATGATTGTTTCTTCACGCCGTTGTGTGTTGGTAACCCCGCCAACAAGTTGAAGAGGTTACCAGACAATAGTTGTTGCATCGAACCAAACACCGAGTAGTTGCGTGAGCCGAGCCAATGCAAGCAACCAAACGGTATGCCAAAATTGCTAACCTAATGCGAGAGGCCTAAATGCAGGCAACCAAACAATGTGCAGATGTCAGATTTTTGGCCTGTTTTCCTTCAACCAGGCTGGGTTGAGCCAGGCTGAGCTAACCAGGCCCGGCTCCTACGGCAACCAAACACGCCCTAGCTGTATCTACTAATTTATCCGTATTGATGTGAGATCGCATGATAAAATTCATTCGGGAATTATCTTCGGTCACAAATAGAGAAGTTTTATCAAGCAATAATTATTGGGTTACCACTTAGGCTCTTACCATCAAGAAAAAACTATATACAATGAACTCAAATCAGCATGGATTCAGAATTCGATGTTATTAATTAAGTTTAGAGACAGAAAAGGGAAATAAATTAACTTGCATTCTTCTTACTAATTAGTGAGCGGAGCACTTACATGGCTAGCGAGCATATAAATTAAAAGGTTAAAAGCAGCACCAGCCCATGCGGTCTCTGTAATTATGCCAGCCGACCTTGTGATTTGAAGGTAGAGTGGTATTATTCGAACGAGCCGAGGCACGTACTGACATGTAACAATAACCATCAGTATATCTTTTGCCTCCATAACCTTGGAATCTTTGAGATGGGGTAGCACTAACAATACAAAAACCTGGTTATTGAAATGATGTCGTTATTGTTACATATTTGTGACAAAAGAGATTCTAAAAACGCAATATTCCGCATTTGTTTCATTCAAATTTAAGAATAGTATCACCCAGTTAAGAACAGTGACTGCATTCAACCTCTTTTTTATGTCATAGGTGGAAAGTATCTGCCCTTTTTGGCATGTTCTATAAGTATCCCAAAGCTTCAATCATACCAAGTAAATGAATAGTACAGCATTAGCTTATAACTCAGCATTTTAAATACAGAATGCCCCAAGTAATTATTGTCTCTTATAATTCCCAGAGGACAACATTCCATTGGTTGATGTTCTGTTATCAGCAGTTATAATTACTGTGCATAACCACACTAAACATCTCATCTCGTTGATGCGCTTGATTGCATAGATGCTCCATAAGTCCATATCTTTGTGCATTCTGGGCCATTAGGCCCCATAAATTTTAAGTACACTAAAATAGCTAACAGCAACAGTTCCTACTGCCTTCCTAATAAATCATACATGAGAAAACTAGTACAAAAGTGCATGCATACAACTAGTCTTATTGGATCCTAACAAAACCATCAGAACTACAAGAAGCACATGATGTTCAACTGTTGCAGGTTAATGCAGAAAATGGCATACGAAGTACCTGAGGGAGGGGCATAACAGCTAAAAAATCAATCAGAAAGTATGTAGTTAGATACCGCTTTGCTATTGCAAAGGTGTCTTCAACCAAGACACCTCGACCAAATACTCTGGAAGGAGCAACAAATCCTGTTCTGAACTGAAATATTATATGGAGCAAATAGAAGATGTCTGTGAAGAAGCGCAGGATACTTGCAATGGTTGCCAACTTTTTGTCCAGATATAGGCAGTTCTTGACACCATCGATCACTGGGATATAAAAGAATAGTGGGTCCACAGAAACTGCAATTAGACATGATATCACAAATATCTTGTTCCATCTTTGCAAAAATGGCCCTTGAGGATCAAGAACTCTTGTTTTGGCCTTCCTTTCCTCTGGTGTTGATTTGTTCAGGGTTTCAGGGCGTGAACTGTTCCCTAAGAATGAGAAGGCTCCTAGAGTCTTATCCTTTAGTGAGTCAAATGCAGTATGCCTTCCTTCTGAAACTATCTTATCTGAACCGACAGAATACTCTGACCTCCAGTCATGAAACCTGACACATACACACACACACACACACAAACAGCTAAGGCTACTTGTCAGAATAATGCGCAGGTATGGATTCTTATTTTGGCAGCTCTTTAGATATAATAACTTCGGAATCTGTCAAACATGAACTTTTTGTAAACCATAATGAAGCTGACCTCATATGTTCCCAGTGGAGTAGGTTTTCCTTCGAAATATGAAATTTTCTATTTCTATTTTAAGACACCAAACACTCTTCAGTACAAGGGGAGCATAGAAACTAACCTCACATATCTCTCCTCTCGGAAAGCCATTCAGTCTGCCTAGCACCAGCAGATAGAACAGGACTAGGACCACGATGGGTCAAATCTTCAAGTGCGGGACTGAAGTATCATATCTCTGATGATCACAGCAAGAGATGAGTAAGCGACCTAGAAAGGCATAGACAGCAGGTCGTTGTAAATTCTTTATAACATAAAAGTACAGTAAAGGGGAGAAAAAAATCTTAGGGCTGAAGAATCAACGAAAGAAATTTAAACTGATCAACATGACCTTGTGTAGCCTGAGAAAATCCAACTGTTCAATTCATTATTTAAAGGGCTTGCTGTGAATACAACAACAAAAAAAACTAAGTCATCCTTTTTTTAGGAACACCAAGTACTGCACAACCGCACGTACACACTCATTCACATAGTGCCCACAAAAGACCAGATGCACAGAGAGCTTCAAGATTGACGAAGTCACCACAGTAGCCTCACTGTCGAAGAAAATTTCGCCTCCTGCTGCAGAATATTCCTGTGACACACAGGGTGTCAAACCCAGGGTTTGATCCCTGGTGGGATAGGGGTACAACCACCCTCCTAACCATACAACCACAGGTTGGTTCTCCACTAAGTCTTTTCTCAGCACTTAGCAGACGATCAAACGCAGGTACATAAAGAACATACTAGCAAGTAATTTTTAGTGTGACACCGCTGAACGAGAGCGGAAACTACTCCCAATTCCTCCTGGACGGGTTAATAGCGACCCCATTGCTCACCGCCGGGGCTTGGGGTGACCAGCTATACCTGTTCCTGTTAATCCTTGCCATCGACCCCATTGCTCACCGTCGGGGCTTGGGGGGACCAGCTATCCCCTTTCCTGTTCATCCTTGCCATCGACCCGCTTCAACATATACCTGATGCTGCTGCCGCCTTGGGGGCTCTTTCCCCTCTACCAGGGAAGGACATGATGTTGTGGGTCAGACTCTATGCTGGTGATGCCATCATTTTCCCAAACCCTTACCGTGGCGACATCAACAACCTTCTCCAAATCCTCGAGCAGTTTGGGCGTGCTACTGGACTTTGCATCAACCCATCCGTTGCCAGGGCATTGAACTTGATGGTATCCTTAAGGGGTTTGGCGGCAGCAGGGTAGGTTTCCCGATCACCTACCTTGGGCTGCCGATCACTCTATCAAGGACAAGGCGCGTGCATCTCCAGTTCGTCCTTGATCGGATCAAGGCCAAGATGGCAAGATGGAAGCTCATGAACCATGCGGGCCGGCGGGCTCTCGTGCGCTCCCCATCTTTGCCCTGCACTCCCCGACTTCGCCCTGACAGCAATCCGTGCTCCCACGGGGTTTTCCAAAGAAATCGACAAAATTTGCAGAGAATTCCTCTGGGTGCACGAGGAGAAGCTTACTGGTTGAAAGTGCAAGGTCAAGTGGACCTCTGTCTGCTCGCCAATTGCCCTGGGAGATTTGGGCATTCACGACCTCGACAAGTTTGAGCACGAGCTACAGTTGCGATGGCTCTGGCTTAGCTGGCAGGCGCCCTCACGCCCATGGGTGGGCTCTGACTTGCCGTGCGACCAGCAGGACCGAGACTCTTCACTGCAGCCACCTCAGTCAATATCAGGAAGGGCAAGCCCACCTGTTTCTGGGAGTCAACCTGGCTATGCTCTACCCCCTTGTGCCTGATGGGACCAAGGCTCTACGTGCAGTCTAGAAGAAAAGCTAGATCGGTGCGTGAGGCCCTGCTGAATAACAGATGGACTCAGGCATCAGAAACCAACACCTGACGGAAGAAAACATCGTTGAGTTCCTTCTGATTTGGAGCATGCTCAGAGCGTCCGCCATTGTCCTTCACCCGGACATACCAGACGAAATTCTTTGGAAGGTCTCGAGCTCGGGCTCATACAGCGCTGCCCCGGCATATAAGTTACAATTCTTGGGAGGAACTAGATCACCCTTCCGTAGCCTGTTCTGGAAGGCTTGGGCTTCGCGCTGCAAGTTTTTCGTATGGCTTCTGCTCCAAGACAGAACTTGGTGTGCTGATCAGCTGCTACGTCGTGGCTGGCCGAATGAATACTTCTGCCCTCTCTGGACCCGGAATCTTGAGACCTCCATGCACCGATTCTGGCAATGCCCGGGGGCAAAGCAAATTTTCGAGGCGGGCCTCGCTCTGGCTGGGGTGTTGGGCGCTGAACCCCCAAGCATGGCCAGAGGTTAACAATTCACTGGGGTTTTGGGAAGCGATCTCAAGCTCAACGACAGCAGACAATGCTAAAGGTGCCAAATCCCTCATGATCATGATCACTTGGGAGATATGGCTGGAAAGGAACAAACACATTGTCCGAGACGAGATTTCTTCCATAAACACAATCATGCATTTGACCCACCACTCTCTGGATTCTCGGAGAATCGCAAGAGCAATCTGCATGCAGCACCCCTTCGGTGATCCGCCCTGAAAAGATCAGCATGCTGAGCAACCACTTCTCTTTTTTTTGGGTTGCTACCCCCGTCTCTGGATTCTTGGAGAAACGTCAGA